CGTAGTGATACTGCCTCGGAAACCCAAGGAGGGGTCGCTATGAGTCAGGGCTGACTCGACGGCACATAACAACAACAACAACAATACTATAACATCAGTTTGGAGGCTGCATGGCACCTTACATAGCTGTACTACAATTTGTTTAGTCAGGCTCTTAGTTTCAGAAACAGGTTTTTTCCAAATTGTTGTTGCTAATATATTACAAAAAAGATATCCATTCCCAGTTTTTTCTGAGGTAAGTTTTTCAACGTACAATCACTGGATCAAGGGATGAAAACATTTTTTAAGATTTTATAATACTATTTCTCAAAACTCTATCAGCCATTGACTTCTCAGACCCCAGACCACCCTCTCTGTGGTTGCTTCATCTGACCACTGACCACATTAAGCTGTAACAGCTGTTGTCTCTGCTCCTTCTACCAGAGGATGAGCTCTCAGGGACTGGGACTATTCTTGTGCATTTTATTTCTCAGAACCCAAAATGGTGCTAGAACATGGCGGGCTCAGGGAGATAAAAATCAAAACTAACATTCATTGAGCACTTCTCAAGAGCCAAGCAGGGTGCAGTGACACTGAAGAGAAATATTACCATCATGCTCATTTCACAGATGAGAAAATTTAGGCTTCAAGAGGTAAATCTCTTGTGTAGAAATAGGCAGTTGCTATGTCATAGGACAAATACTTGTTGAATGAGTGAGTGACAAGGTGTCATTTCAGGAATGTTATTTCTACAGAATATAAGTAACTCCACAAACCTGAAATAGGCAGTATTGCTAATTATGACATGATATATTTCAAGAAATGGAGAAAAGATTAAAGGTGTCAGGGATTTAATTTTACTTGGCTCCATAATCAACACCCATGGAAGCAGCAGTCAAGAAATCAGACATTGTATTGCACTGGGCAGATGTGCTGCAAAAGACCTCTTTAAAGTGTTAAGAAGTGAGATGTCACTTTGAAGATTAAGGTGCAACTGACCCAAGCCATGGTATTTTCAGTCAGCTCTTATGCATGTGAAAGCTGGGCAATAATAAGGAAGACCAAAGAAGAGTTGATGCCTTTGAATTGTGGTGTTGACAAAGAATACTGAAAATACCATGGACTGCCAGAAGAATGAACAAATCTTTCCTAGAAGAAGTGCAGCCAGAGTGCTCCTTGGAAGGAAGAATGGCCAGACTTCATCTCACCTACTTTGGTCATGTTGTCAGAAGGGGCCATTCCCTGGAGAAGGACATCATGCTTGGTAAAGTGGAGGGTCAGTGAAAAAGGGAGAAGACCTTCAAAATGGATTGACATAGCGGCTGCAACAGTGGGCTCAAGGATAGCAAGGATTGTGAGTATGGCACAGGACCAGGCAGTGTTTCATTCTGTTGTACATAGGGTCTCTATGAGTCGGAGCCTACTCAATGGCACCTAACAACAACAACATATTTCAAGAACTTTATTTGCTTAGAGACAATGATTTTGCACACATTGATCTTTGGAAGATCAGTGGATCTTTAGAAAACATCTACCTGGCCAACTGACTAAAAGAGATCCATATTTATGCCTATTCCAAAGAAATGCATTCCAGTACAATGCAAGAATTATCTAAAAATATCATTAATAACACATGCAAGTAAAATATTGCTGAAGATAATTCAAAAACAGTTGCAGCAGGACATCAACAGTGAAGTGCCAGAAATTCAAGCCAGATTCAGAAGAGGATGTGGAACAAAGGATATCATTGCTGATGTCAGATGAATCTTGACTGAAAGGAGATAATACCAGAAAGATAACCTGTGCCTTATTGACTATGCAAAGGCATTTAGCTGTGTGGATCATAACAAATTATGGATAACATTGCAAAGATTGAGAATTCCAGAACGCTTAATTGTGCTCATAAGGAACCTGTGCATAGACCAAGAGGCAATCATTCAAAACAGAACAAGGGAGCATTGCACAGTTTAAAATCAGGAAAGGTATGTCAGGGTTGTATCCTTTCATCATATTTATTCAAGTCTGTATGCTAAGCAAATAATCCAAGAATCTGGACTATATGAAAAAGAACATGGCATCAGGATTGGAGAAAGATTCGTTAACAACCTGCAATATGCAGATTATACAACCTTGCTTGCTGAAAGTAAAGACTTAGAGAACTTACTGATAAAGATCAAAGACTACAGCCTTCTGTATGAATTACACCTCAACATTAGAAAACAAAAATCCTCACAACTGGGCCAATAAACAACATCGTGATAAATGGAGAAAAGATTGAAGTTGTCAAGGATTTTATTTTACTTGGATCCACAATCAACACCCATGGAAACAGCAGCTAAGAATTCAAATGACATATTGCATTGGGCAAAGCTGCTACAAAAGATCTCTTTAAAGTGTTAAAAAGCAGAGATATCACTTTGTGAACTAAGGTGCACCAGACCCTAGCCATGGTATTTTCAGTTGCCTCATATGCATGTGAGGGGTGGACAGTGAATAAGGAAGAATGCAGAAAAATTGATGTCTTTGAATTATGGTGTTGGCAAAGGATATTGAATACACTGAGGACTGCCAGAAGAATGAACAATCTGTCTTGGAAGAAGTACATCCAGAAAGCCCCTTACAAGGGAGGATAGTGGGACTTGGTCTTTGGACATGTTATCAGGAGGGACTAGTCCCTGGAGAAAGACATCATGCTTGATAAAGTAGGTCAGTGAAAAAGAGGAAGACCCTCAACAATGGGCTCAAACATAGCAACAATTGTAAGAATGCCACAAGATTGGACAGTGTTTTGTTTCGTTGTATCTGTGGTTGGAACCTACTCGACATACCTAACAATGATCTTCAGATTCTTTTTAAGATTTCTCAATTTCCCCTAATGACCTCTTCTTTTTTCAGAACTGCGAGGAGGAAGAAGAGATGTCCTCATATTCCTCCATCACCTGCTCCTTTGCCTAGTGTAGAGGTTCTTACACTTCAGAAGGCATCAGAATCTCAGGAAGGGCTTGTTAAAACACAAATTGTTGCCCCTCCACACACACCAGTCTCTGATTTAGTAGGCCCTGGGGCTGAGAATTTACATTTATAACAAGATCTCTAGTGAAGCTGATACTGTTGACCCAAGTACCCACTTTGAGAACATTTCAAACTGTAGTGGACTGCTGCACCCTGTCTCTATACTCTCTCTGCTGCTCCAGGTTCACTCCTAGTTTTGTTCTGTGGTGGGTATCACAATTTACTTGCACCCATATATGTGAAGAGAAATCCCTTGTTATAATCAAATCTTTCTTCCTTTGGAGTATTGTGGCCACCTGGTCGACCCAGCATGCTAGGACTCATTCTAAGCTAGAGTGAGGCACCTTGGTTTGTAGACTTCTAGGCCCAGCTCTATCTGACTTTACATAACCCTGTGAAAGTCCCTGCTGATGCCTCTTCTCTACAGAGAAAAGTACTACATTGATCCCTAAGGACCTTTGGTCTCAGACTTTTTATTTCCTCTGAAGAGTGTATATTTAAGCAGCTGACTTATTGGGTCAGACAATAAATGGTATGATAGTCCCTGCATTGGCCGCATAGCAGACCACTATAAAAAAAGGCCATATTTATTCATCTGTTCTCATTTTCTGCTGATGGGACTTCAGAGACTATTATTGCCTTCAATTAATTTCCTAATTCAATTCTCCTTTGTATTACTTCTTTGCCTTAGCATTCTTTGGCCCTGTGTGGAGTGAGAAAATGCTTCTTTTATTGTTATTGTTGTTGTTAGATGCCATCGAGTCATTTCCAACTCATAGCGACCCCATGCTCAGCGGAACGAAACACTGCCTGATCCCGCACCAGCTCCATGATCCCTGCTATACTTGAGCCCATCATTGCAGCCACCATGTCACTCCATCTCGTTGAAGGCTTTCCCCTCTTTCGTCGACCCTCCACCCTACCAAGCATGACATCCTTCTCCAGGGAATGGTCCCATCTGACAACATGACCAAAGTAGATGAGATGAAGTCTGGCCATTCTCGCTTCCAAGGAGCATTTTGGGTGCACTACCTCCAGGACAGATCTGTTAGTTCTTTTAGCAGTCCATGGTACTTTCAACATTCTTTGCCAGCACCACAACTCAAAAGCATCAACTCTTCTTCGGTCTTCCTTATTGATTGTCCAGCTCTCACATGCATACGAGGCGATTGGAAATA